GCAGTCTTTTTGCAGGCTATGACATGCGCCATTTTTGAGAACCGATCAACCACCACAAATACAGAGTCCACTCCCCTTTGTGTTCGGGGCAATCCGAGGACAAAATCCATAGCAAGATCCTGCCAAATATCGTTAGGAACTGGTAATGGCATATATAATCCAGTGTTTTGTACCTGCCCCTTCGAAGTTTGACAAATGTAGCACTTGCGCACAATAGTTCCAACATCACGTTTGAGCTGTGGCCAGTAAAATCTATCCTCCAACAATGCAATTGTTTTGTCACGGCCTAGGTGGCCACTCAACCCTCCACCATGCAAGTCCCGAATGAGCTTCTCCCTCAAAGAAGAAACTGGAATACACAGCTGGTTGCCTTTGAACAAATAACCTTCATTGAGAAAGTAATCTGCCATTGGCTCTTGATTAGTGCACTTAATCCAAATTTCCCGGAAATCATTGTCACCTGCATATAATTCCTTCAGACATTCAAACCCCACAACTTCTTGAGTCAGCGTGACTAATAATGAAGCTCTCCTACTCAGCGCATCTGCCACACGATTGGTCTTGCCGGAAGTATGCTTGATAACGAACGAAAATTTCTGCAAAAAAGTCATCCATCTAGCATGCATTTTATCAATATTTTTCTGGCTGTTAATATACTTCAACGCTTGATGATCTGTAAACAAAACAAATTCCTTCTGGATAAGATAGTGCTCCCATTGCTTCAAAGCTCGAACAACCGCATAGAACTCTTGGTCATAAGTACTCCACTTTTGACGTGCATCGCTCAACTTTTCAGAAAAGAACGCAATTGGCCGCTTGTCTTGTGAGAGCACAGCTCCGACTCCCACACCGCTGGCATCACATTCAACTTCGAAAACTTTCTCAAAGTTTGGAAGAGCTAGAACCGGTGCGGTGCAAAGCTTTTCTTTTATTTCTGCAAAGCTTCTTTCTTGCTCCTCTCCCCAGCTGAACCGGCCCTTCTTCAAACATTCTGTGATAGGTGCAGCAACGGTGCTAAAATGCTTCACAAATCTTCTGTAAAAGGTGGCCAAGCCATGGAAGCTTCGAACTTCAGAAACTGTCTTTGGAGCTGGCCAATCAAGGATTGCCTTGATCTTCTCGTCATCTACCTGGATACCATTCTCACCAACAACAAAACCCAAGAACAGTAGCTTATTTGTGCAGAAAGTACATTTTTTAAGGTTCACATACAACTTATTTTCTCTCAACACATCTAAACTTGTCTCAAATGCACAAGATGTTCTTCTTTTGTGGTACTATAAATTAAAATGTCATCGAAATAAACAACGACAAAAGAACCAATGAATGGTCGAAGAACCTGATTCATGAGCCGCATGAAAGTGCTAGGTGCATTTGACAATCCGAATGGCATCACCAACCATTCAAATAATCCGTCCTTGCTCTTGAACGCTGTTTTCCATTCGTCTCCAGGTCGTATGCGAATCTGGTGGTATCCGCTTCGCAAATCTATCTTAGAAAACACCCTTGAGCCGCTAAGAACGTCCAGCATATCTTCTAACCGTGGAATGGGAAACCTGTACTTGACTGTTATCTTGTTGATTGCCCGGCTATCAACACACATTCGCCAAGTTTTGTCTTTCTTTGGAACCAGCAAAACAGGAACTGCGCAGGGACTCAAACTCTCCCTGATAAATCCTTTCCGCAGTAATTCTTCAATCTGTTCTCTCAGGATGTCATTCTCCTTGGGGCTCATTCGATAATGGGGCAGATTCAGAAGGCTAGCTCTAGGCACCAAGTCAATTTGGTGCTGTATGTCCCGCATAGGAGGCAGCTCGTTTGGCAGATTTTCAGAAAGTAGTTCCTGAAATTGATTCAAAATCTGCTGCACATCTTGTGGAATGTCACCTTCTCCTCCGCCAATTTTCAACAACCCCTTCAACACCAAGGGACAAAAACACTCCGCTTCTTTGACAGCCTCGTTCAACTCCTGCTCGTTGCGAATTAGGGTTAGGAAACTAGAACTCCTCGTCTTGGGCTCAACAGATTGCTTTGCGGGCTGTGTGGTTGCCATTGCAATTTTCCGGTTGTTCCAAGAGAACAGAATTACATTATCTCGTCCCTTGAAAGTTGCATCCACATCAAATTGCCAAGGTCGCCCTAACAAAATATGGCATGCATCCATGTCAATAACATCACATAATATTTCATCTCTGTAATGCTTACCAATTGACAGTGGCACTCGGCAAGTCTCAGCTACACGAACCGAAGGGCCTTTTTTAACCCAACCTAGTGAGTAAGGGCTGACATGAGGCTCCGTAGATAACTGCAAATACTCCACCAATTTCTTTGACACGAAATTCTCGCAACTTCCATTGTCGACGATCACATCACACACCTTGTTTTTAATTGAGCAGAGGGAACGAAAAATACTATGACGCTGCCCTTCCTCCTTTGGTGCCAAAAGAACTCTCTGCAAAACCAAGGTAATCTTCTCCATTCCTTCCTCAACTGCAAATTCAGCCCCTACATAATCATCTTTCCCGACTTCATCGTTTTCCTCATCTTCATCGGCTTCTTCGATAAAGTTGGCCTGCTTCCGTTCTGGACAAACATTAGAACGATGCCCTGGTTTTTGGCAACGGTAACATATGTCCGTCATGGGCTTAGCATACGGATTCTGGGACTGGTTTCGGGGCTGCCCTCTGTTGTAATTCCGGCTGCTACCTTCGTTGAAATTTTTGTTTTGGCCAACTATTGCTGGTTTTGTCGATCCTCCAAGATTCTGCTGCTGTGCTTTCCCCTTATCTCCTGAGCCACTAGAAGCACCAGCAGTATATTCAGAGGCTTCCGTCGTGTTCCTGCGGAAGTT